CATCAAGTTCAAGAATTACACTGGGACTCAAAACTTTCAGAGGAAGATTTGACACGCAATCTAGAAAACCTCTCACTGTCAAACAAAAACTGTCCTACCATCCCACCGTGTACAGCTGCACCGCCAGAGTGAGCGTCTTACCTGGGGTAAGGAAAATCTTACAGACCTCGCGCAGAAGAAAACATCTGCCATTGTCTCTAGAGCTGAACAGTTATTAGTAATCTGATGAAGAGATCTCTCAATCTCAGACTTTATTGCAGTTATAAAATAGGTTTTAAACATGGCTTCCCATGCTTTATAAAAATGCATTCCATTAGGTTTGCTCATCACTCAAATGCAAAACTTTAGACTCAAATGAAAATTGTGTCCTTAGGTTAATAATTATAGATAATAATGGTCTGATCTAGTCTATTAAAAATCTTGGACACGACACTGCACATATTATTTTCATCCATAAGTTAAAATTCAAGTAAGAAACTCTTCTGCGCCAGTTTTAAAACTCTAATTAAAAATTACTACACAATGTAATAAATGTATCAGAAACAAGACAGTGATTAAAAAGCAAAGGTAGTGTAAATATATACATCTTAACATTACACATTTAAACTATTCTATAGGTTAGATATTATTTTAATAAACAATATAACAATATTTGGCTCTGTCCAGTTTTCAAAGTGCATAAAAGAGTATATATAAATATTATATGCAAATACCAAAGCAGCAATAGACTTATAATGAAAATTGTATAAACTTATACTTTTCCTTTGGTCTAATGACCTCAAGAAGATGGACACAAGAGTAATGAAAGAGGGGAAATTAAAGAATTTCAGTCCCTGATGTACTGTGAGAGAGAGAAAAAAAAAAGAGAGAAGAAACTTAAACTGAATATTTGATTATTGACAGCCATTCTCATAAGCAAAATATTTTCCCTCAATTACACCTAATTATTTAATTGTTTACATTTCCTAATGAAACGAAACCATACAAAACAAACGAACTATAAGAGGCTGTTTTTCAGCAAGTGCATAATCATCAATCAACATGTACAGAAAGATTCTTAAAATTATATGAAGCTGGTCTGTTTAAACAGAAAGGTCTATTTTACCCCCAATCAATGCGTACACATAAAATTATCTCTAACTGAGGCCTGTTCCTCCACTGTACGGTTCATCCGTAATGGTCCCCACACACTGCACTTGCACATCAATTATGATAATCATAATCACGGTCGTTAAGCTGAATGTTCATTATTATCAGGATGCTGGTGACAGCAGATTCAATCACCGGGTGCAGTGGGCAAGCAGTCACAGTCCCACCCAAGTTTCTGCAGACGGCGACGTGCCACATTAAATCCATGATGTGTTCTACAGCCCACTCCATTCCAAAAGCCTCAGACGGTAAAGGTCAACTTTATGTTCTGTGCAATATGCTTAGGCTCTCTAAATTCATTCTTTGGAGCATTGGATGTGTTTATGCTTTGCAGCTTATCAAATCCTCTTTAGGACCAACACACATGTGAAAATCACAAGAAAAGGGCTGCCCTTCTATTGTACTGTCATTCTCCTGTAATAAGGCACATGGGGAAAGGCTCTAGCAACATGAACTGCCTTAAAAAAATAAAAAATAATAATAATAAAATAAAATGTTTTTTTTTAAAAAGCTTCTTGCTGAATTTTGCAAATGCGAAAACATGAAATGGTTCCATTCAAATCAGTTGTCTAAAGTGAACGTGGAAACTAATTTCAATTGAGATAAAGGCCTTAGACTATCATGTCTGCTTTGGTAAATGTGAACATATGCGAATGTTTGGATGACCAAAAGAATGTTTTTAGTATATTGAAATTTTTATTGTCCAACTCTTTTGACCTACCCAAATAGATGAATTAATAGTGACTGGTAGACTCTCCTTATTTAATTTCACTTCTATTTTAAATATTGAAATCAGCACAATGAAGAATTTATAAATACAAAGTGGTTCCTTGAACTTAAAAAGTTCACAGAGCTAGAATCCAACAATTTGACTTGGGGCATTTTACAAATAGATCAATGAGCTATGAGTAATGTATATGATACATACATTACTTTATTATTGATTTCTATACTTTCAAGAAAAATTCCATACATGTTATTTTTCATTATTAACTTTCATACTTTCAAGAAAAAGTAGTAGTATTTGCTCTCAATTTGCTGACTTTGTGATGTCTTCTCACAGTGTTCTTCATATTAATGGTATTAAAAATAAAGCAAAACTATTAACTAATATTTGATACATGAATGCATTTAATGTATGATTAAATTAAGAATATTTAATTAACATTTGATTTTTCTCTCAACTGATATCCTTTAATACAATTGTGTAACAAATCATTTGAAAATTATAACTTCCATGTTTAAAGATGATAAAAGAGGAGAAAAATTCCATGTAGACAATCTTAGAACATGGTAAAAGGTTGAGGAACAGGAACCAAATATACTTAACTGAGCTGTTTCTTGGCTGAAATCAATCTACTGCATTCAATTAAATTTTATGTGCATTGAAATGTTTGTAAATAGTCCATCTCCCCATAGTAGAAGCATAAAACCATATTAGTCTTTTCCTTCTTCAACATTTGAACTTAACAACTCTTCATTGCCTAAAACTGTCTTCAATCAACTAAAAATGAATAAGTTGTGGCCTCCGATTTCCAATATTAAGAAACAAAGTTTTATAGAAAAAATTAAGAATAAGTCTGCATTCAGCAATTGATTGGGAAGAAATTGCATGCAAATCACTCAACATCAAATCAAAATAAAAATATTTTTTAATAGTTCTAAGATTTTACATATACATAGAATGACTACTTCCGTATCTTGCAGGTTACATTAGTTATACAGAGGGGTAATTTATTTGCTATAGCTATTTGAAGAGATCAGAAAGAAGGTGGGAAGAAATTAAGAAAGGAAGGAAGGAAGGAGGAAAGGGAGGGAGGGACGGAGGAAAGGGAAGGAAGTAGGAAGAGAGAAATTTAAGTTTGCATTTAATATTTTCCACATGGTTTTATGTAGGGTTCAGTACACTAATGATTGATTAAAATGTAAAGAATTCCTATACTGCTCTCGCTTAACTTTCAGGGTCTACAAGAACAATTATTTGTCATTAACTTTTTAACTATATATACTTTCTAAAAGTATACAGGGCACACAATGATTCTTTCAAAAGGACAAAATAAAATACTGTTCTTTTTAATAAGTATCCAAAAGTCTCTTTATTTCCATGAACTTGTTTACTTCCACTAGATGAATGAATGTTCTCGGAATATGTCAGAAGGTATGACGTGAACCCATTGCATAAAACTAAAAATACCATATTATTTTAGGAAAGAAACATTTGCACAAAAACCTTTGTTACTCTGAAGGGGCTTAATGTCCTAAGGTGAGTCATTTACATTTTGAAGAATTGAATGCTTCCTTGAATGAAATAGAATGGTGAGAGGGCATAAAAGCAAAAAATGTTTATGTCAAGAAAGAAAATGAGATGCAGATCACATTATGTACATTCAAAATATGAAACTAAATGTTTTAAAATCTTAGCCCATATTCTGAACGATTGCATGTTAGGTAAAAACAAACGCTAGAATAGTTTTAGTGTGGATTTTTATGAAATAACATTGTCACCAACATTTAGGTTCATCAATTAGTAGACCACGCTGAACCACTCATTGAATTTAATCTTTATGACATGGAATCATTACTTGGTGTTTTAGAAGACCAATTTATTTAAAAGATGACCTTGTAGCTGCAAAAGAAAAAAAGCACTTCTCGAAGTATCCAAGTGACTCCCTCATATGACTTACCCTTGGTAATCCCATATTTACAACGTCCTTTCAACAGAAACTTTCGTTAGCATTTGGTAAGGAAAGGTCTTATTTTCCCTAAGGGTCTCATGTGTCTCTTCCTGTTGAGAAAAGAGTGCATGCCTGAAACTTGTGTTCCTGCTTTATCACCCACACACCGAAATCCCAAAGTCACCAGCCACCACAGCAGTGTCCTCCCTTCATTTTATGGGCATCAGCACTCTTCTCATCCAAGATCATTTCCCCTTATTTTTACTTCTAGACTATGACCCTTATTGTATTTCCCTTTTAATAACATGCCTTAAAATCCTTTTGGAAGGAGATTGTGTGTAAATGAGTAAATCCTCGTTGGCAGACAATTAATAGAACCAACAAGTTTGGTCGTGTAAGGAATTCAGTGGCCCTAACTGCTCTTCCGAAAATCATTTACTACTTCATTTTACCTGTGCAATTTTGCTATAAATAAGTTGTAGTTTCTAGTTTCTAGAGAATAAGGTAAACACACAGTAAAAACTTTTCATGAATAGGTGTAAGACGTCTTGATGTTTTTTCCAACTGAGGAATTTTTATCTAAGTGCTAACAAATATTCTGGAGCGAGACAAGAAATATTTATTCGCTTTCTGCTTTTCTCTATTATATACATACAGATATTATATCACAGATACATCTATGTCTGCCTATCTACTGATTGATCGATTGATCGATCGATCGGATCTATCTATCTATCTATCTATCTATCTATCTATCTATCTATCTATCTATCTATCTATCTACTGATCTAGCTACAAAGATTGAGAGAAAGCAAGCCCTGTTCTCCATGCCTGAGAGTGAAGCTTAATTCCGTCCTGTGACCACAGATTCAAGCCTTGATCCCGGGGGGCTTTGCCAAAGACAATGACCCATGCCATTGGTCATAGGGTAGCTGAGCCACGAAACGTAAGAACACAACACTAAACAAAAAACAAGCAAACAAAACCCCTGAAACCAAGTCTCTTACTGACATAGGTCACCAGCACCATCTTTCCATAAAATACCTATAAATAATTTTGTAACCATGATGGTATTAAGCGTAATGAAAATATTTATATTTGCTATAATCGGTGTATATTTTTAGCCTTGAAAAGGAGCACCATTTCTTTTCTTTTTTTAATGCTGCATTAACCTACCTTGTCGCAGATCCATTTGTTAGGATTTTCATCTCTGAAATGTTGATGTCCGTAAGACTCGGGACCATACTTGCTTGATAAATGTATCGATGGGATGTACTTTTTGTTCTTATGGTAGGAAGAAAACGGCAAAAACCTGAAAGAACATTAAGGTGATAGTCTTAATTTGATTTCTAGAGACATTTGATTTAAAAAAAAAAGAATTTAGAGAAGTAGTAAAGTATGGTGAAGATAAAACATGGCTTCGGGCGGGAACGCTTGACTCCCGCTTTGATCTCTGCCACTGACTACCGCTGTTAGTAACTTCTGTGAATCGTCATTTCTTATTCTTCAAGTGGAGATATGAAAACTTGCTTCATAGGATTTTTGTGAGCCTCAAACATTTTGTGAACATAGAAAATGTTAAATAACAAATTCATTTATTTAAGGGTGCCAAATAATTCCAAATTGATCAGATAAGTAAAAATGTTCTTAATTTTAAAATGGTATCCGGAAAATGAAAAGGATGGCCAGGATGGGCAATTCTCATTGAAGTGGGTTTTCTTTGGATCTTAACTCAACCAAATAATGGAGGCAATTTGGGTAGCGGTTGTGAATAATGAGGCTTCCGAGTCTGCCAGACCTGTGTCCACATCTTAGCTTTGCCGTCGCTGGCTGGGTTCCCTTGTGCAAGTCACTTGACCTCTATGAGATTTTAGTTTCACAGAGAGTTGTAAGGAGTGAATAACTTAATATATATAAAGCTTCTCATGGAGGCTGACAAGGGCAAGTGTCCAGTAAACAAAAGTTGAAATAAAAGTAGAAGTAGAATTGTCGTTGTAGCTCTTATCATCATCACCATCAGCAATTTTTGGTATTAATTATGATCAACATAAGAAATTGAACTTTTAACACCCATATAAACTCTCACAGACCATCTTAGATTGTGTTCTGCTTTTAATGTAACCTAGCGAATTATTTAGATCCCTCACCAAAACCCTCTGAGTAATAAGAGCAAAGGGGGGAAAAAAAGTTATAAGCCCATAAGAAGAAAGACGACAAAGAAGAGAAGCAGCAACACATCTCGGGCAGGAGGGAAGCAGATAGAAAAGTCAAACACTGAAGTCTAACGCCAGAACAAGGCGAGGCCTGAGAGAGCAGGGGCCATTTGTTGCGCAGAAGCTGGAAACGCTCAGGAACAAAAGCTACGGTTATTGCACAAGGTGGGAGAGAGGGATACAGCGGGAAACAGATGAGAAGTCTATGCAAAGAGGGATACACCCCCAGGTCCCTCGCCCAGTCCACGCATCCAGGGAAGAGCCTCTGCTCAGAAAGCTTGACACCAGAGTGCACAGGTCTCAGCGGAAGCAGGGAACAGACACCGGGGGAGGCACGGAATGGGATATATGGATTTTCACTAAAAACCCGCCCACTGGACCCTTCCCGGCTCATCTCTCTAAGTGACCTGGCTGTCGGACTTACCTCCTTCGGGAGACTGAAGCCTCTTCTCAGAAGATACTGAGAGCACCCAGGGAAGCAACTTCAAACATAACACTTGGGATCTCTTAATTAAAAGGTCGCATCACAGTGCGATTAGAGTGTATCAGGCAAAAGACCACTCTCGCATGGAAACACAGTTTCTAACCTGGCCTTTAGAGTCTCCTTTTTAATATGAAGTTAAGAATGGATTACCAATTGGGGAAAGTACACACATGAAGGGGAGACACAGATGCACGCATGAAAGGTAACCTAGAGTGAACAGATGGAGTGCAGGAAACAGGCATGAACTTCAGGAACTTTTAATTAATGGAATCAAAGGACATATGGTATCAATGAAATTAGAGCTAGACAATGTTTTAAATGAAAGGAACATTTAAAGAAAAAGAGCAAACTCTGGGAAATCAAAAGATATACGTAGAAAAATGAAATATTCTGCTGAGAAAAATATTCTGAAATTCAGATTTTGAAAAAATTAAGTGGAGGCTTTACAAATGTATGGAGCCATTATGGTATGTGAATATTTTCACATATAGTATCTCATTTAATTAAGACAAAGAAGGGGCTTTTAAAAATCTCAATTCAATTAAAAATTTGTTTTTAGCATTGTATTAACACATTTGTCTAAAAAAATAATAAACAGGAAAGGCAGTGTCTGTTCATCAATTTTTACATACCTCTACAATTTATTTTTAATGCTTATCAATAAACTCCTTTTTAATGTTTTTGCCAAGAAAATATTCCTTAATACTATCTAAAGTAAACACAAACAGAACGCAGAGCTTTGAATTGTACAGAATCACATGGCATGTATCCTCTTGAGAAAAGGGCTCTCATGTAAGACAGATTATGGTCTTTTCAGTGTTAATTTGCACATGGGATGGACATCACGCTCACAAAAATTAATGCGGCCCCCACGTCCCTGAGTATACAGAGGAGGTGCTGTGAGCCGGCTGCTGCACTTCACTTCTGAATTGCATTTTAATTGTACATTTTTCTTTTGTGTCTGCACAAAATTTGCTTTCTCGAGGGAATGGACAGCTAAGAAGACAGGCTGAAAAACTCGTGTTTCCCCCATCCATAAATTAATTTTACTTTCATTCAGTCATGATGTTTCATTAAAGTAACATGTGGGCATATTCTTAAGTATATGTATGTATGTGCATACATACATATATCCAAAAATATTTAGAAGTTTTGTAAATAATATTTAAACACTTACCTCAAATTAGGAAGAAATTACTTAATTCTCAAATAGGATTTGCTCTACAAAAGTATAAATAGGTTTGAAAACCATAAAAATCACTTTTAGTTTATAATCAAATTTTTAGATAATTATCAGTTACTTTTAAAAATGTTATCTTTTACCAATTTTAAATACATATTCAGAGGTATTTTATGCTTGCAGTGAGTACATTTCAATGAACTGAAAACCACACTAAAGGAGAAGATATGGGTTTGCCTATTATTTTTTATAATCTCATAAAAATACGGATTTGGGAGAAATTCTTAAATACGATGTGGAGATACCGTGGTATGTACAAATAAGTCATTACTTGAATGTCTGGGCAGTTGGAGAGCAATGGGTAGAGGTCTCAGGAAGCAAAACTTAAAAATAATCAATTAGCTTCAGGGAAAATAGGTCCATTGCAAATATAGCCATTGTTGAGAATTAATATACTTAATATTATTTTCCAAAAAAGAATACAAATATCACTTTTCTTCCCCTTATAATTCTCTTTCATTTGTCCCCATTTTTACAGCCCTATTATTGTCACTCATAATTCTACATTGTCCTCTAATCCATTTATTTCACTGCGAGATAATCCAAATCTACAAATTATGAACCCCTGTTGCATACGGTTCCAGCCTATATTCTTCAGCCCAACTGTCAAACCTCTTAGAATGCAATGGGTCACCTTAGTGTCCTAAACTTCCCTCCCTTCTTCCATTCCTTCATCTCTCTCTCTCTCTCCCTTCCTACCTTCCTTCCTTCCTTCCTTCCTTCCTTCCTTCCTTCCTTCCTTCCTTCCCTTCCTCCCTCCTTCCTACTTTCCTTCCTCCCTCCTTTCCTTCTTTCTTTCTATCTTTCCTTCCGACCTCTGCCTTTGTCCATCCATGCTCCTCTTCCTGAAATGCAGATCCATACACTATTCAACTTTCAAAATCTAGCTTAACACTCAGCTTACCTAGGCAATGTGATTGTCCCACTTTAACCCACACTAATTTCTCTACTACTACCTTAAAATTTAGTCATTAAACAAGCCTTGTGATCCTTTAATACCAAGATACATCTGACATTTTCCACCGTTTATTGGGAGATATTTTTTCTTATTTATTAATTATGAAATACCTACAGGATTCTTACCATCACCCTTATCAAGTGGGAAAAGAGAAACAAAAACACTATTCCGTCATTTCAGACTGGGTATAAACTGATTCAGGCTTCTGGTGTTTAAACCTCTTACACTTTACAGATAAGAAATTGTAATGTAAGGAGATGACAGCATAGCAAATAAGGTTTTGTGCATTTCACTGTCTTATCTTTATCTTGTATGCCACACAGAGTGGCAATGCCTATTATTTTTGCTTGTTCTTATGGCAAAATCATGGAAAATGCTCAAAAGACCATAAGCTGCATTAATCAAGAGCTTGGTGTATGAGCAGCCCCTCTCATGCCAATCATCAACAACATTGACGCGACAGGGACTCGTAAGTGGGGATACAGGAGTGAGAGCTAGGGCTCATCCCAGGAACTTGGCTGAAAAGGTACATCTAAAATAGTTTTCATCATAGAAGCAGTATTTGATTGAGGATGGACATAAATGCTTTCATGCAGGTTAAACAGGCAAAGTCCTTAAAGAGGCAAAGTACTAAGTCATCAGAGGAAACTGTCAATAGATGGTCAGACTACATAATGGTATATGCTTCTCCTCGTACAGGAGGCCTCATATTTCTAGAAGATTCCTTGATGTATCTCTTCAAACACACCCTTAATTTTTTGAGCTGCCTTGAATGGATCTTTGTTTTTTGCAACTAAGAAAGCTCTAAGACACTGATCCGAAACACACCTGTGCGCCTGACCACACCATCCACACCATTATCAGGTTGCCCCCTAAATCAGGTTGATTTAGGGTGTATAGGGTTTTTGTCAACATTTATTTTCCCCTCCACCACCAATGTCCTTGTGCTACTGCCAATGTCCTTTTGTCTCTGAACTGGACTAAGGCAACGGCCTCCTAACTGGTCTCCATCACCAGTGACTTCCATTTGTTCACCATGGACATAGCTAACAAAGCCATGTTTCTAAGCTATCGGATGCTTTCAATCTGGCGATTAAAACACTGTGAGGCTTTTACACTCTCTCTACATGGTAAAGGGCAAATACTTTATCGTAGGACATACGGCTCTACCTATGCTTTATATATCATTGCTGCCACTTTGCACAAGGTACCAAAGTTAGGAGCTAAGATTCTCAAGATACCACAGACAGCAAACCGAAACCCCCGTGAGCTATACACTTTGGAACCTAGAGATGGCTTTGTCCAGGCCACTTCCCCTGGGCCAGTCTCCTTGCTCTGCCTGGCAAACTTCTGCTCAACCTTCAATCCTCTTCTGACTGCCACCCCCCCCCACCCCACCTTCTTTTAAACCCTAGAT